TTTGGGCTTTAGGGGTTTAGAGCTTTGGGCCGGCTTTGGGGGTTTAGAGTGTAGGCTCCAGGACATGATTCGGCAGGTCGCAAGAGTCTCGGGCTGGTGGCCTCTGTTCTGGAAGTCGAGTCCGCTGCTGGTCGTGCTCCTTACGATAGTGTGGAGGGCGCTGGCAATGTATTCCGCCGGCATACTTGAGTTTCACCTTGTGCTGGCTGCAGGCCAACTTTTCTCGATGTTGCTGGTGCTTGGCGTCGGTTTATTTTTCCTCCAGAGGAGTCGTGTCATCCCCACTGCGGGGCCGAAGGAGAAGTGGGGAATTCGGTTTCTTGACCAGCATCATGCGGCTAAAGCCTTTGCGCTAGGGGTGCAGTCGTTGGCTGCATACTTCCTGTTTAGTCTTACATTCTCGATATTTTGGTTCATCCTGGATGCCATCAGCACGCAGGAGGAGTACGAGGACCTGAGCAACCGTTGAACGATTAGTATCATATGTATGTATGAAGGAGGCGTTTTGAGACCTTGTTCTTTCACAGACCGCATCGGAAGGACTCCGCGATCGTGGCTTGGGGCCATCCCACGGCCGTGTGCGGCTGGTCAGCTTTGGAGGTGATTTGGCTCATGTTCGACGTCACCGACCTCCTCGACCGCCGCAGCGGATATCAGAATTGGTGGGCATTGCTCGCAAGCCTGTTTCCGATCCGAGTCCTGCGCCCAGCGTCCCTGCACATGCACCTACATGCCACGCGGCAAATTCGCAGCTGGGACGAGATTGCTTGGCCTTGTGCTTGGCTCCTCTTCTTCCTTTGTGGCTTCCTGCTGCGCAACCTCGGCTACCATCTGCAAGCCCTCGTGCAGTCTGTGTCGGAACGTTTATGGCCGATGGAAGGAAGGCGCTTGCAGAAGGCCCGCCGGGCGGGCATTGTGGTCCGTCAATGTATTGAGACGATATGGTGCCTGCTCTTCGCTGCATTCCTAGCGATCGGGGAAGATTGCCATGGCGAGTACGTCGTGTCTGGTGCTGTTGCTTCCGGGAGGTTTTACAACGGTGACTATCACCTTGCCGGACGATACGGGGAAAGGCCTTTTTACACGAAGAGTGTGGGTGTCGGTTTCATTTACTTCTGGGGCGTATCTAGTCAATGGAGACTCTCCGACCAGTTGAATGATACGCTGGAGGAAGTTGACATGGGCTACGCGCCATTAGTGCATGCTGCAACCCCACCGACCGAAGGCGATTGGGTTCTCAAGGACCCCTTCGCAGGGCCATGCACCTGCCAGGACGAGCCACCCAACATCTCCGTGTGCCACGAGCCAACGTGCGAAGGTCACGATGCATCATAATCAGCTAATCGTGAAGCTTTGGGCTTAGAGGTACAGGGCTCAAGCTTCCGGTCAGGGTCTTGATGCTGTGCAAAGCTTCTCTCTTGCTTACTAGCAGTTTCTAGCAGAAACCTCACACAGGGAATAAGTCACCACCTCTTAAGAGGCGATCTGATGGTTTCGGAAATGGGGCCGACGCAGAGCCAGGGCAACGGCCAGTATGCTTACACAGAGGACCACAACGCCAAGCCGTTCTATAGGCAGATCGGAGGAGATTCCATAATCTACTTCGACGTTACTTGGCACATCAACACGCTATCTAACTCGACGGACCGGGCAACCTTCATCGCTCCAACATCACCGCTCCCACCCCTCGGGCAGTGGGTGACAGAAGGCCGGCATGTCAATGATGTCTGCATAGCCCGCTGGGTGGGACGGATTGTGCCTCGTAAGCCATTGACCTTGGACTGTTAACTCCCCCAATTGGAACCTTCAAAGCCTATAGCCTTAAATGTCCTGGCAGATATTCATCGTCCAGAAGCCGATCCCCCGCCGTTCGTCTCTGAATGTGCTGGCTGTGACGGGGACTACACGGTCTCGGGTGCCGGCGGCGAAGGTAGCTGGTGCAATGGCGAGTACCGCTACGCCCGTCGCAATGATGGAAAGCCGCTTTTCCAGCAAATTGGAGGGGAATGCATCATCTATCATTTGCAACAATGGAGAATCACCTATGAAAACCAGACCGGCAACGCTTTTGTGGCCAGCTGGTATTACATTGCTCCAGGCTTTCCTGAGCCTCCACTGGGCAAGTGGGAGAACATTCCGTGCGGACTTTGCGGTCGAGATCCGGCGAGAGTTGCACCTTGTGATTCCGTGGCGTGCGACTATGTGGTTTCCGGGGCAGACGGCACTTTTGCCGACCACAATGGTCAGTACAGGCAAACTGGCATTCGGGTGAATGGCAAGCCCGTGTACCAGCTTCAGCATTCTTTTTTAGAGGACCGATACATCTTCTACTTTTGGAGTTGGAAGATCGGCTTTTTCTATGAACTTGCGTATGGTGGGGTTGTGTATGACTCACCAGCAGAGAGCCTTCCGCCAACTGGCTCCTGGGAACGGCAGAGTTTGCTTGACGAAGAGACTTCAGATCACTTGCAGGTTTCACCTTGCCGCGAGAGGCCCTCGCTGGTCGCTCTGCCGGTCGTACTTGTAGCCTCGCTCGCCACTTGTTGCCTGGCTGTTCGCGAGCACCATCGTCACCAGTGGCAGCAATACTGCAACGGAAGATGTTAGTGTTGCTGGAAGTAACAATGAACAGCCTGATGATGAGATTACGTCATCCGTCCTTTCATGAGAATCTGTGTCTCCCATCAAGTCAGGTCACTGCAGCCGGGTCTAGTCGTTGGACCGTGAACAGGCGTGTGCTTCGACAAGCCTTGAGACCTTCAGCTTGCCTGTAGGATTAAGGTCCAAAACTGATCTTTGAGAACTTCTTTGGGCATGCCGACATGTGTTGGTTGCAGGTACGACGGTAGTATTCGCAAGATCTAAGAGTTCCTTCAACATCTGTTGTCGTCACCAACTTCGCCATCATGATCGTTATCACCACCAACATCATAACCTGTATCACCAGCATCATCGTCACCAGTGGCCGCAATACAACAACAACGCATGTCGCTGACATTGTCATCAGTAAGGAACAGCACATGGCACACGATGAGATTCCGCTAGCCGTCCTTTCATGCAGATCTAATCCTCCAGGCTCGTCGTTGGACTGTGAACCAGAGTGACTATCCAGAGCAGAGTTTCCTCAAGGTTCAACGCTCCAGCTTCTGTAGGTTGACGGGTTAGGGGTTCATATCGTGGCGTCCCAGTGACAGAACCCGGAGCCCCCAAAGTCAGAGTTGGCTTGTCTGCAGCCGTTTGTGGAGCAAAACGCGATCATCATATAGTTCATTGGGCAGTCCATTCAGTTCGCAATGTTGCGCCC